GGGAAGAGAGGCAGAGGGGGAAGGGAGAAGGGCGGGCTCCTCACGCCCAGTCCGCGCTCACCGTACGTGGTCGCAGATTCGCTACAAACGGCCCCACCATTCCGGGTCCCGAGTACCGCAACTTCAGTCTCCAGAAGCTCAACTCTAAGATGGAGGTGCTAGAAAAGTCATGTAGGGTGTCCAGGGGCCCTTCCGAATCCCAGAGAATGGCCTCTCGAGCCTCAGCGGGCGGGCGGGGATGTGTGGCGAAAGTGCAGCTCGGCAGCGTTGCGGCGGCGCGTTTACCCTGCGCAGACGCCGTCGCCGCCGCTGCTGCCGCCGCCGCTGCCACTGCCTTTGCCGCCACCGTCTCCGCCGCCGCCGTCCCCGCGCTGCCTCCGGGAGCCTCCATTGTTCCGGCGGTGCTGGGTCCCGAGACCGGGCAACCTAGGGGCTTTCGAAAGGGGCGGCGGCCGCCGCAATTGAGAGACCGGGGCGCCGGCGGGACTGGGAGCGGCAGGGGTCAGCGCGGGAATCCCAGGGAGCCGGGCCAGAGCGTGGGGCGGCAGGGGGTCGGGGTGGCGAGGTCTGCAGTCTCCGGAATTGGGGCTCCCCATCCCCGGCCCGTCTTTCCCCGCCGGCCTCCCCTAGTGGGGTCGGAGCCCCGGCGGGCGCCCTCGGCAATGAGCCCGGACTCGAGGTGGCCGGTGAGTGCGGGCCAGGGACCAGGGCGGGAGTGGCCAGCCGGGAAGGGGTAGGCTACTTTCGTGGGGCGCGCACTGAGCTGCCCAGCCCGAGTACCCTCGGGCCACTCCAGCCCGGAGAACTGACAGTGCATTAGCTCACAGCCTGCATCCCGGGCAACAGTGTATCCTTCGGGGTTGCCTGGGGCTGCCTGGGCCAATGGCAGGAGAAGAGCCTTGTTTAACTTTGTACACTTCGACAAAGGGGAAACGTAGCCGCATCCGGGAGAGGGCTGCGGGCACCGCCCGGCCCGGCCTAATCCCTCTGGCCTCCGCCCCCTACTTCCTCCAGCCCTCGGAGCGCCTGGGGCAGATGCCGCCGCCATACCCTTGGGCTGGGGCCCTCCCCACGGGCTTTCGGATCTAAGTTGCCTTGTTTCTCCTCTGCGCTTCTGTTGCAGAGTCCCAGCGGGACGTTTGCTGGGGGTTTCTGTGCTGATTAGGGAGCCAGCCGGGGCAGCAGAGCTGCAGCGTTCACTCAGGGACTCATCATAGAAAGAGGAGAGTTTCTTTGTGCTTCTGATTGGTTTGTTTAAAGACAGGTGGAGGTAGGAAGTAGGGGCGAGTTTAAGGAGTAGTTTTACTGATATGACAATCTGGGGCTTTGACAGAGAGACTGGAGCAGCTCACTAGCTTGGTTAAGTCGCAGGAGAGGAGCCAACAAGCACCGTTATTAATCAGGGAGCTCAGGGTGGCTTTGCTTGGAATGGTGCCAAGACCACAGTTAAATTGTTGCACTCAGCTAGGCCTGGAGAAATTGGGGCAGTCTCTCTGACCAAGCTGGGCTTCCTGGGGGCTGGTGCCATCTGCTGTCTCCACTCACCCAGGAACACTGGAGAGGAGGAAGGGAGGGCTCTGAGGACCAGCATGGAGCTGAGTGTGCCTGGATTGTCATGTTCCTGTTTGTATCCTTAGGGCCTGGTGCCACTCCCAGGGCCAGGGCATAGGCTTACCGTAAACGCCTCAGAAATTAACTAATTCTTTCTGTAACCCAGTGATTTCTGCTGGAGTCCAGGACCAAATCATTGGCCAGCTGTTCAAGCTTCTGCATGGGCTGACACTAGCCTTCATCCATCTCAGCTCCAGAACTGGTGATCCCCTCATTTAGCTATTCATTCAACAGATTATTTATTCATTGGCCAAAACAACACTACATGCCAGGTACTGGGGATACAGAGGTGGGTAGGCTCTGGTGTCTGCACTGCACAGCTCCCAGTCTACTGGGAGGAGACAGAGAACTTCCAGTGTGGTGAATGCCATGGTGGAGGTGAGGATGAAATGCTGTGGAAACACAGCTCTCCATGGGAGAGACAAAGAAGCATAACAGGAGTGACATTCGAGTCATGTTTTGAAGAATGAGTAGGAGCTCACTAATCAGGGAGGTTGGAAGGCATTCTAAATAGAGATCATCTTGCAGGAATGAGAGGTTGTAACATTCAGGGACTGGCAAGTTGCCCTGGTTAGACAGAAATACAGCTGTAACTGGTGAAAAGAATCTAGAAAGAAGGACTAAGGCCAAACAGTGAACGGAGCACCTCGAATATCATCATAAGGAATTTGGATGTTATCCTGAAGTAAGTGGGGAACATCAGGATGCTTTTAATCAAGAGACTAACATGGTCGTTTCTACTTGGTAGAAAGATCGTTCTGGACACGTTGTGTGAGATGAGGCTAGAAGAACTGAGACGTAGAGCAGGATGATCAGGCAAGAGGTGATAAGGCCGAGACTATGGCCATGTTGTGGAGGAGGGGGCATTTGGAGCTGCTGTAGAGGTTGGCTGGCCAGGACCCTTGGGGAGAGGGAGGGCTGGAGAGAGTGGAGTGGGTGGCCAGGAACTCTTCCCTGGGCCTGTGCTAACTGATCTGTACATTCTAGATGTGACAGCATGGGGGTGGACTTTGATGTGAAGACTTTCTGCCACAACTTGCGGGCAACTAAGCCACCGTATGAGTGCCCTGTGGAGACCTGCCGCAAGGTCTACAAGAGTTACAGTGGTATTGAGTACCATCTGTACCACTATGACCATGACAACCCACCGCCCCCACAGCAGACTCCACTCCGAAAGCACAAGAAGAAGGGGCGCCAGTCACGCCCAGCCAACAAGCAGTCACCCACCCCCTCAGAGGTATCCCAGTCGCCCAGCCGGGAGGTGATGAGTTACGCACAGGCCCAGCGCATGGTGGAGGTGGACCTGCACGGCCGCGTCCACCGCATCAGCATCTTTGACAACCTGGATGTGGTGTCAGAAGATGAGGAGGCCCCTGAGGAGGCCCCTGAGAACGGCAGCAATAAGGAGAACACTGAGACACCGGCTGCTACTCCCAAGTCAGGCAAGCATAAGAACAAGGAGAAGCGC